TGTTGCGATATGTTCAGCTTCAGCGAGCCATTTTTCGGCCGCTGCGACGCGGATTTCGATCAAATCGCTTCTTTACTTTTCGCGAACCATTTCCGCTGATGTTGCTATTTTCTTCCCTCCACTTCCTGGACATATTTCGGGGTACGCTACTGGTATACGGTAACGAGCTATGGTACGAGACAAACATTTAAATGCTTAAATGCTCTAACGATAGCCACTTGTGGGTTTCCAGCCAAATATAAAGAAATCACGCTTGAATTCCATTACGAATAACTTTTTTTCGGGGAAATTCTCACCAAAATACTTTTGCACGCCTGTAAACATTATAATGAGCTGTGACTAGAATAATTTTTAATAGCTGTCGGACGAGAGACTTAGAATTAACAGCAGTCCGATGATGGTTGCAGTTTTGTCATCTCACCCTGTATAGGTCCGCGATATCGTATAGCCCCCATATAACGGTAACCCCTGATATTCGGTATTTTAATGATTTCAGGCATAATTTTTAATGGAATTATCTTAAAATCCACACAAGGGATATCTTCTGAGTACTTTATCCCTTAGAAGAGATTTATCTACATAGGTCCAGGTTATAGTATAGCGCCCATATAACGATACCCCCAGATTTTCCGTATTTTCATGATTTTAGCGACATTATTCACGGTAATTTCGTATCTAAAGTTCGGAAATGTTACTTCAGTCTATGACTTATGCAACACCACACTCTTTGCATAGCCCCAACGGACGACGGATTTTTTTTAATTTTCTAAGTTTCTTCCAAATGATGGAGAATATGAAAAGCTCGGCCTGACCGACCTTAAGTGTTTTTTTTTTTTTTTTTTTTTTTTTTTTTTTTTTTTTTTTTGGTATTTCTCATAAATAATTCTTAAATTGTTTGGCAATACTTAGATCATTTTGGAAATAGTAAATCCAAATAAAGTTAAGGGATTAATATCACATTTCAAATAATATCGGTATTTTTAAAATCCGAAAACCGTTTCCAATCTAATATTCGTTCCACAAAAAAAATCGTGATCCACTTAAGCTTAGATCTCAAATTCTGGTAGGGATATCAAAACAATGAAAACGCCTTTTATTATTACTTTAAACTCTAGCGACTAACTTTTCAACGTCCAAAACAACAAATAATAATAAAAATAATATTTCTAAAAATAAGACGATGGGTAGTTTTCTAAAAACTAAAAAAATATAGATTTGTAGATAAACTTTCAAAAAAAAAAAACACTTACTTAAACCTTGAATAGGCTCTACTCACCTAAAATGTGTATTTTATATATATGAATAACTAACGACTTTAACACAATTTTTTTTGTAAAAAAAAAAAACAGATTATTATACAAAAACTCCAGTGTAAATGTAAAATGACTTTTAACCAAAAAAAGTTTTAAATGTGATTAGATTGGACAATCTCAATGAACCAAAGAAATGAAAATAGAGGCCCCTATTAACTTTAAAATAGAATTTAAAATAAAAAAGAAACCTCTCACAATAAACGTCAAACTAAATTTACAGAAAAAAAGAAATTAGACTTTCTTCCAACTGGAAATCACATAGAAGACCCCCTAATAACCTCCAAATCAAACTCGTCAAAGTAAAAATGAAGTCTCTTAAGCAGCTCACTGTAAGAAGAAAAACTCCAATTAAAAAATAAGCAAGCAAATGGAAAATAAGAAAACAAATAACAAATATATATTTACACTCACATAGATATTTACAAAGCAAATTTGTCCCTCACACACACACTCACACCTACCCAGACATGACACGACCCGATAGACAAAGTCTTTTGGAAGATTTGGAAAAAAAAATTGCGCTGGCTCGCCACATTTTTTCGTGGAATCTTCAAAATTTACACCGGAAATTAAAACAGTTTATTAAAAAATATAAATTTCCAATTTTGTTTGCGTTAATTGAATTTTGCATTATGCCAAAAGAAAAACAACTTGATTGCAAATTTTAAATATTTACACAAAAACTACAAATTTACAAAAACCCCAAGGAAAACTTTAACGAAAACAAACGAAATGAACCAAACCAAAAATTGAATGAAATGCAAAACCAAAAACAAAAGAAAAAAAATGCCCAAACCACAGAGAACAAATAGCAATAGTTTCTTTAAAAGAACAAAGCAAACAACAAAATAAACAAAAATGTTACTTTTCTAAAAAAAAGAAATATAGAAACAAAAAAAAAACGAAAATATTAAATATTTCTTCATTCTAAATATGTAAAAAACAAAACAAAAAATACAAAGAATAAATAAATAATATTAATTGTACAATTTCAAGTAATAATAGTAGTTTTGTTAATGGCTTGTGGTTGGAAGTGAAAAATGTATTTATTTTAAATATGGAAAACACAAAAAGTAAAAACGCTGTAAGTTCGGCTGGGCCGAACTTTGAATACCCTCCACCATTTGGAACGAATTTGGCCATGTTCAAAAAAATTAAATTATTTTTAGGATCTATACGACGACATGGACCTGCATCATCAAAATACCGAATATCGGGAGGTATCGCCACTTTTCTGTCATAGGCTTTAGTATCCATTACGAAATTCAAATACAAAATTTGAAACAATTCCGATGAATAATAACGCTAAAATCATTTAAATATCGAGTATCGGGAGGTACCGTTATATGAAGGCTATACGAAGACTTGGGCTTGTCCAGACACTTTTCTGCCACAGACTGTAATATCCATTACGAACTTCAAATACTAAATTTGAAACTATTCCGGTGAATAATGTCGCTAAAATCATCAAAATACCGAATATCGGGAGGTACCGTTATATGGGGGCTATACGAAGACGTGGACCTGCACAGACACTTTTCTGTCTTAGGCTGTAGCATCCATTACGAACTTCAAATACCAAATTTGAAACAATTCCGGTGAATAATGTCGCTCAAATCGCCAAACCCCCCAAAAAAGGTAGGTACCATAATATGGGTGCTATACCAAAACGTAGACCTACATGGCCCATTTTCAATACCAAAAGTCCTGCAGTCATGACATACATTTGAGTAAAATTTTATCATTCTACTTCAATTCGTTCGGAATCTAGAGTGATTTCCACAGACGGATGGACATCGCTAAATCGATATAGAATTTTATGCTGATCAATAATATAAGTGCGTTGTGGGGTCTTAAATGTTTTACAAACGGAATGACAAACTTAATATACCCTCCATACTATGGTGGAGGGTATAAACATATTTATTGGAGCAATATACAAGGTGAGATAAAAAAACTGCAACCAACTTCAGACTAATGTTATTTCCAAGCCACTCGTCCGACAGCTGTTAAGATTATTCCAGTGACAGCTCGTTATATGGTTTACAAGCGTACAAAAGCATTTTGGTGAGAATTTTCCAGAAAAAAGTTATTCGTGATGGAATTCAAGCGTGGTAGTGTAATTTCTTTAAATTTGGATGGAAAACCACAAGTGGCTATCGTTAGAGCACTTCAGCATTTAAATGTGAATAAATTTTTTGTGTCCCGTACCATCGCTCGTTACCGTGATACTGGTAGCGAAGCCCGACCTCAAGAAAGTGGACGGAAGGAAATGGTTCAAAACTTGCCGACTTGATCGAAACCCGCGTTGCAGTGGCCGAAAAATTGCTCGTGAACTGAACATATCACAATATTCCATTCGGCAAATATTAAAAAAAAGCTCGGGTAAAAGCTATTAAAATTCCAAAAAGTGGAGGAACTTACTCCGCAACAGAAAGAAAATAGACTCAAAAGAGCTAAAGAGTTGCTTCGTTTGGCCGAAAGTGGTGGACTGCTGAATTTGGTTTTCTCCGGTGAACAAACATTCGTTGTCCAGCAGTTTGTAAACAGCCAAAAGAGGTCAGCTGAAAATGTGGTGGTGTGGTTCTGGTTGGCGACCAGAACTCAAGCGCCGACCATGGTGATGGTGTGGGCCGCCATAACAGTCGATGGTCGCTCTCCACTCGTACCGACCGTGGCATCAAAATAAATGCCGAATATTATCGCGAAAATATTCTGGTGGGTGTATTAAAGCCTTGGGCACGCAATCATTTGGGCCGAAGACCTTGGACATTCCAACAAGACTCAGCACCATCGCACATAGCAGGCGCCACCCAAGAATGCTTATAAAATGAGGTTAATCGCTTCATTTCCTGTGCACAATGACCACAAAAATCTTCGGATACCAATCCGTTGGACTAATGTGCCTGGAGAATTTGGAAAGCAAGGTTGGCACCAAAAAATACTAAAGCGTCGATCACCTCAAGCAAGCGCTTCGCCGGGAATGAGCCAAAATACCACAGAGCAACATTCGGGCAGCGTGTTGGCCGTTTTAAGGCCATAATTCATGTCAATAGTGACCAATACGAACAAATCTAAACTTATTCTAAAATTTGATGCTATTTCCGACATTTTTTGCTTTCATTAAATAAAATTAGAAAAAAATGTAAAAATTATGTAGTTGGACTTTGTTGCAGTTTTTTTATCTCACCCTGTAGACTTTATGCTATAGGTAGTCTTTATACGAGACAGACTTCCTTTTAGTTTCTGTCTATGGAAACCACCATTTAATATCTCTTAGCAATAGAGGACCTATGCAAGGTTTCCTCTTTACAGGTTCTATATAATTTGTAAAACGTAAGAGATCGAAGAAACATCTTTTTATATTTACTTTTTTATGTTTTGTCATGCCTATGATTTCCTCTTATTTTAGAGCACTATTTTCTGCTCAAGAGTGTTCTTTGAGTCATCATCTACCAATGAGTCAGCAGAAAATTCCCAAAACATACCGAAATAGCAATGAGAACACAAATACATTAATTAACAATGGGGAGAATACGTGGTAAATGAGACGGAGTGGGCATAACAACAACACAATTACTTGGCGGCCATACCAGTCAAACAAGACCGCCTCACTCACTGAGAGAAACTAACGAGAACCCCCAAGAAATTTGAGAGAACCAAATCGAATGAATGACGACTGTTGTTAAAAACAAATGTCGTTCACATTCAGACTCAAACGGCAGTTCTCATCCAAGTGTCCCCCAGCAGTGAAGTGTCAAGTGTAAAACAAGTGAAAATCGGCAAATAATTCAATAATAGCCAGATAAACTACTTCAAAGATAAGACAAATCAATAAAAGGAAAAGAAACGCATTACAACGCAAAAATATGACCTCAAAATTAGCTCCATGCATTAAACTGAGCAATGGCCAACAGATGCCGGTCGTCGGCTTGGGTACCTGGCGTTCCTATGAAAACGAAGCCGAACAAGCTGTCAAAGATGCCATAGATATTGGCTACCGGCACATTGACACAGCATTTGTCTACGAGAATGAGCATGAAGTTGGACGAGCAATCAAGGCAAAAATTGCCGAGGGCAAAGTGAAGAGAGAAGATCTTTTTGTGGTCACAAAGTTGGGTGGCATACACCACGATCCCCAGATAGTGGAACATGCCTGTCGCAAAAGCCTAAGTAATTTGGATTTGGACTACATCGATTTGTATCTCATGCATTTCCCAGTGGGTCAAGTGTACAAGGGCGATGACAATGTTCATGGCAGCGGTGAATTGAGTGACACAGATTATGTTGACACCTGGAAGGCCATGGAAAAGCTCTTTGATCTTGGTCTAGTCAAGGGTTTGGGTATCTCCAATTTCAATGCTGAACAAACTGAGAGAATACTACAAAACTGCCGTATTCGCCCGGTGGTCAATCAAGTGGAATGCCATCCCGCTTTCAATCAAAAGAAACTGATTGAATTCTCCCGACAAAAGGATATTGTCATTACTGCCTATGCCCCACTGGCTCGGCCAAAACCTGCACAAAAATGGCCAGCATTTCTTTATGATGAAACTGCCCAAGATTTGGCGAAGCGTTACAACCGTACTCCTGCACAAATTTGTCTGCGTTATCTGATCCAATTGGGCACAATTGTTATTCCGAAATCGGTGCGCAAAGAACGCATAGCGGAGAATTTTGATTGTTTCGATTTTGAGTTATCGCCTGAAGATATGCAGCTGATGGATCGTTATAATTCCAATACCCGTTTAATACCATTCACCGGCATGAGTCATCACAAATATTTCCCATTTAATACGGAATTTTAGGTTGGTTTATTGTTGTTCTTTGTTGTTAACAATGGTATTTTTAAGTTTGTTTTTTTAATAAAGTTTGGAGATCAAAAAAGCAGCTGGATTTATTAGTAAAATTTGGCTGAAGGTAAGTACGTATATATGTAAGTACTGAGACAATGTAGATTTCAACTTCAAAGCTTCTGAAGAAAATCAATTTTTGCATCCACTACAAAATTAATATAATATATTGTAGAGTCTCAAAAATAAACTAACCATCATCTGACATCGCGGAAAAAAGGTCCAGTGTTTTTCAACAATATATATAAATTAAACGCAGTGTCTAGGCTAGATAAAACAATAGTCTCTTGGAGCCCCAAATAACATTCTGACTACGTGGACTTCCCATTCATGGTCTCCAGGTAACGTGGACAACTTACCCACAGTCGCCATGGAGCGCGAATAAATAACTTTTACCCAAGCTCCTAACAACGTGAAGTACTAATCGACAGTCTCCAAATAATGAACACGACATATCCACACTCTCCAAATAACTTGGATAATACATCCACGGTTCACAGGTAACGCAGATAACTTATCCATAGTCGATAATGAGAACAGCTTGTCCACGGTCTTCAAACGATGCAGAGAACATATCCACAGTCTCCAGGCAATGAGGATAGCATTTGCAGTGTCTCCAGCCACTTGATAACTTTCCCAAAATCTTTTGGACAAAAGAGGATGACTAATCCACAGTCTACAGACAGTGGATATGAGTTATACACACCTCTGGCAGCATTGACAGCATAGTCCACAGTTGCCAGAAAACTCATCTGCAGTCTCCGGGAAATGAGGATAACTTTTCCAGAGTTTCTCATATCGAAGATAACTTATCGACGGTCTAGTGACATCATGGATAGCTTATCCACAGTCTCCAGACAACGCGGTTGACTTATCCGTAGTCTCCTAACATCGTGAATAACTTATCCACAGTCTCCTGACAGCATTGGCATCTTAGATAACTTCTCCTTAAACTCTTAGCAACATGGATAAATCATCCGCAGTCTCCTGAAAGCGAGGATAACTTTTCCATAGTCTTCTGACATCGTAGATAACCTATCTATGGTGTAGTGACAGCGTGTATAACTTATCCACAGTCTCCAGACAACGCGGTAGAATTATCCGTCTCCTGACATCGTGGATAACATACCCACAGTCTCTTGACAGAATGGATAACTTATCCACAGTCGCCTGATAGCGTGAATAACTTATGCTTTAGCTCTTAATAACGCGGATGACTTATCTGCAGTCTCTTGACATCGTAGATAACTTATCCACAGTCTCCAGAGAGCATGGATAACTTACACACAGTTTCTAGACAATGCGGCTGACTCAACCACAAACTTCTGACATCGTAGATAACTTCTCCTTCTACTCACGATTTAGTGACAGCGTGGATAGCGTATCCAAAGTCTCCAGACAACGTAGAACGATAAAATCCTTATACTCTTGACAGCGTGGATAACTTATCCACAGTCTCCAGACAACGGTGTGACTTATCTACAGTTTTCTAACATCGTATATAACATCTAACATCGTATCCTTAAACTCCTGACAATGTGGATAACTTATCCACAGTCCTCTGACGACGTAGATAACTTATACGCGGTCTAGTGAGAGTGTGGATAACTTATCCATAGTCTCCCGACATCGTGAAAAAATTATCCACAGTCTCCAGGCATCATAAATAAATTATCCGTATTCTCCTGACACCGCTAAAAGTTATCCACAGTTTCTGACAGCATGGATAGCTTATTCGATGACAACGTGGAGAACTTATCCACAGTCTCCAGACAGCGAGGATAAATTTTCAAGAGTCTTCTGACATCGTAGATAATTTATCCATGATCTAGTGAGAGCGTGGATTACTTATCTACCGTCTCCTGACAGCATGGATAACTCATCCACAGTATCCGGACAACGCGAATGACTTGTCCACAGTCTTCTGACACCGTAGATACTTATCCACAGTCTTCCAACATCGTGGATAACTTATCCACAGTCCAGTGACAGCTTGAAAAATTTATCCGCAGTCTCCAGACAACGCGAATGACTTATCCACAGTGTTCTGACATCGTAGATAACTTATCCTTAATCCTTTAACAAAGTGGATAACTTATCCGCAATCTCCTGACAACATGGATAATTTATCCGCAATCTCCTGACAACATGGATAACTTATCCACAGTCTCGCGACATCGTGCATAAGTTATCCCGACAGCGTGAAAAACTTATCCACAGTTGTCTGACTTCGTAGATAACATATCCATTGACAACGAGGATAACTCAACCGCAGTCTCCTTACACCGTAGATAACATAACTTCTGACATCGTAGATAACTTATCCTTAAACTCTTAACGACGTAGATAACTTATCCATAGCCTCATTACAGCATGGATAACTTATCCCCATATATTATCCTCTGATAATGTGAATAACTTATTCACAGTTTCCTGACAACGTGGATAGTATAAACTTGTTCTCTTGGCAACGTGGATATGCGTTGACAATATGGCCAACCTATACAGCATTTCTTAACATTGTGGAGACCTTATAAAGGTCTCCATCAATAAAGAAACTCTCAATGACCCTCTTTCTTTAGAAGAGCCATATTTTGAAGTAAAACGATACGAAAAGTTTTTCATTGAAAACTTTCACCCCCAAAGCTTCATTAAGCAATGACACTAACCAAATACCGTTATTTACAATTTGGGGAGAGCATTTGCTTAAAGCTTACATATTGCATTAAGGAGCTTTGGAAAAACAAACTTTCACTTCTCAAAACAATAAATAATTTTCCGACGACAACAACAACGAAGACATGTGTTTGGGGAAATTCAAAGAAATTGATGGAACGTTGGCTCTGCTGCTGATGGTGTGGGAGGGTGGAGGGTTGTTGTTGATAGTATTTGTTGTATACTACCGTTGTCGTATAGTAAAATCAAGAGAGGCGAGAGTGAGAGTAAGTGTTGTTATGTACACTAGAGGAAAATACGCAAAACTAAGGGAAAGCTGAAAAACGCTGCGATAGATGGGCAGAATGAAACGACAAAAACAGATGAAAAACATAAACGTAAACGTTGGAAGCAACAAAAAAAGCTAACAAAAACAAGGGTTGATTTTCCTTCTCCTATACACGCCAATGCTTACAGCCAAACAACCACCCCTCCGTATGCGGGTCCATCACATTTTTCTTTTGCCAGGCGGTAAAGAAAACGACAAAGACTCTCTAAAGAATAGAAAAATTTTGTCGATACCGAGCGAGCCAAAGACGACGAGAAATGGGAAAATTTTCACTGTTTTGTTGTTAAAGTGTAACAAAAAAAAAAGAAATATAAAATAATAAATATTATTAATTTAATTTTGATTTTATTTCGCTTCCGACACACAACAAAACCGATTAAAATCATCACACAGTTCGCATCTGTTCCGCAAACGAAGAAATAGCAATTCGATTTAAGTGAAATTCAGCGATTTATTTTTTCCTCTTATTTGCAAAAGGCAGTGAAAAACGAGAAAATTTTGTGTTAACAAGAAAAAAATATTTTTGCAAGGAGTGCTACCGAACGAAACGAGAAAAAAAAACGAAAAAAGTAATAAAATTATATATTTAAAACAATAACACGTGCCCCTCTATTTTCTGTTATAGAAATATCGAAAAATAAGCTTTGTGGAAAAACTTCGAATAAAGGCCCCTCCCCAGTTTCATAAACGAAGTATACCCTATGAAAGAAATGGAAACCTCTATTGAGTCTCCTTTTGAATAAAATACAAAAAGTGGATATTTTCAAAAGATCCTCCAATTAGTGATTCACTTAGTTCCTGACTTCGTCCTCGACAGTTTATCTAAAACATTGTGCTGTCTACTATAAACATCTTCATTGTAGCTGGTCCAGGTTCAAGGTTGACATTCCTCAACACACAACAACCACCACATCTAATCCTCACAAGGCAACGGACACCCAATTTGGTTTGGCTAACGCCTAATTCCTCCGTGTGAGCCCACTAAGGCCTCACTAATCTCATGGCCGGTGATATGTCCACAGTTGGATGTGCTGCCCTCAAGAAATCGGCCAAACAGAAACTTTCCAGTGACAAAGAGAACAATTCCAGCATCACAAATGCCGTTGGTAATCGCAAGGAAAATGGTCATCTGGCTATGAAACCACCAAATGTTCCACCGCTAAATATGCGCGGAGGTCTAAGGGTCTACAAGATTGTCATTCTGGGAGATGGTGGTGTCGGGAAATCGGGTAAATATGGATTTATCTTGGTTTTGCTTTTTTTCTTTTTTGCATTTGCATATTGTTCTTGTTCTTTGAATAATCAATAATTATGTATGTTCGTGTTTGTCTGTCTGTCTGACTGCCTGCCTAACGCAATATTTCTTTTGTTCTACCAATTCTCCAAAAAAAAAAAACAACACATCTCGTGTGGATATTCTCGTTGTGTGGCCTTTTTGTTTTCATTCGCAATTATATACACACGCACCCGATTTATTGACGTTTCTTATCAAAATGTTTGTTGCTGCCACCACCGGGTTTTTGTCGAATGATGACGACGACGATGTTGATGCTGATGATGATGCCGAATACCGCCACCGCTCTTTTCAACAAATTGTTTGATATTCATCCATCTACCCACCCACCCTTTGCTTCTGTGCTGCTTTTACTTTCGTTTGGATGGCGCGTTTCATTGTTTTGTTCTGGTCCACGAATATAACTGTAACTATGTGACTATTATGGCGCGCCACTACCGTTACATCTTAACTTTGGATGCTGGCGGGCTAACAACTACAAACAAAAAACAGCTGTTACTCTGCAATTTGTCAGTCACAACTTTTTGGACTATCACGATCCGACAATTGGTAAGTTTGATAACTTTATTTTCGAGAGATTAAGGCAAGGATTTCTAGGCGTATAAGAAAAGAAGATAGAAGAGAAGTTGTTTATATAAAGAAGGATTGTAGATAATACTCGACATATAAAAGAAAATCAGGATATTTTCTATATGAAGTCAGGCGGTCTTCTATCCATAGTAGAGCGTCAGACGTCAAACGGTCTTCTATCCATAGAAGAGCGTCAGACGTCAGGCGAAAAACATTTTATATATTTTAAGTACCGAAAAAATGAATTTTTAAAAAATATTTTTCAGCTACTGAAAAACGTGGATTTTTGAAAAAAAATTTTTAGCTACCGAAGAATATGGATTTTTAAAAATATTTTTTAGCTACCGAAGAATATGGATTTTTAAAAATATTTTTTAGCTACCGGAAAACGTGGATTTTTTTAATATTTTTTACCTACCGAAATACGTAAAATTTTTGGAAAAATTTGTTCAGGGACTGAAAAACTTGGATTTTTTAAAATTCATGGATAAAAAAGATGGGTTTTTAAAAAAATAGTTTCAGGATTCGAAAAACGTAGATTTTTGAAACATTTCCTAGGGACAAAAAAACACATGGATTTTTTAAAAAATAGTTTCAGGGATCGAAAAACGTGGATTTTTAAAAAAAAATTCAGTGACGAAAAACTTGGATTTTTTTAATTTTTTGTAGAACCAAAAATTTTGATTTCTAAAAAAATATCTTTTTAAGGACTAAAATAAAAGCATTTTTTAAAAATTGTTTTTCAATAATCATCAGGGCCATAAACTTGAATTTCGTTAAATATTTTATAAGGTCTTTTAAACATTGTTAGAGACTAAAAAAGTTAACTTTTTCAAAAATGTTTTTTCAAGGACCAAAAAACAAGGCCTAAAACGTGAACGCCCCAAAAAAAACGTAAATTTAAAAAAAATATTATTTTGAGAACGATAAAACGTACACTTTTAAAAAATATTTTTAAAGCACAAAGAATGTTGATTTAAGTTGTTAAAAAATGTGATTTTTTTAAAAACAAAATTAAGAATAATAAAAAGTAGGTTTTTTAAAAATATTTTTTCAAGGACTAAAAATTGAATTTAAAAAAAATGGGTTTTTGGAGCCAAGAAAGTGGGATTTTTTATTTTTCTTCATAGTTTTCTTTCGAGCCATTCTATATTCAAGCTAATACTAATTTAACATTCCACGATTTTTAGAGGACTCATATCAACAGCAAGCCGTCATCGACAATGAAGCAGCCCTTTTGGATATACTCGATACTGCGGGACAGGTGGAGTTCACGGCTATGCGTGATCAATACATGCGATGTGGAGAGGGATTCATAATTTGTTATTCCGTAATCGATCGGCATAGCTACGAAGAGGCTTCGGAATATCGCAAACTAATACAGAGAGTTAGATTAACCGAAGATATTCCCTTGGTGTTGATTGCCAATAAAAGTGACCTCGAATCTCTACGAAAGGTATGTCAAATGGATTTAAAAATTTCGAACTTCTTATAAATGAATCTTTTCCAGGTTTCCACGGAAGAAGGACGCAATTTGGCCAATCAATTTGGCTGTCCATTTTTTGAAACATCTGCCGCTCTGCGTCTCTACATCGATGAGGCGTTCTATGCTCTGATTCGTGAAATACGACGCAAAGAAAAACAACGGGCCCTGGGCAATGGTACCAGTTCGGAAAAGTTACATTCCCGGCGACGAAGTCGTTGGTGGCGTATACGTTCAATATTTGCTTTGGTCTTTCGACGAAGACGGAATTTAAATTAAGCCTGATCAGTTTGGGGTTTCTAGTTGTTAAATGAAGACAAAACGCAACAAGCAGAAGAAGGAAGGAGATGAAGCACAAGGATGAAAACGCCGCACATAAGAGATTATCAGCCGTAAGCGCCCACTTTTTTTGGTAGAGTATGTTTATATATTATTAGAAGAACAAGAAGAAGCAGCAAAACAAACAGGTATATATTCTATAAGTAATAACAAACACTATAACAAATCAAACACACACACTCTATACAGATCTGTTATAATCATAAGAATTGAACTAAATCTTAGTACGAGTAGCATTATTTTCTAGTACATTATTTCCTAGAGGAAGAGAGGAGTAGAGAGAGAGAAAATAGAGGGAAAGAAAAACGGGAGAGCGATATCATTTAATTCGTGTGGAATGTTTGCGATTATTTTCAATTAAAGTTTTGGAAACGACACACAGATTTTGTGGTCAAAGTTTAACTAAAAATAGTCCTGAAATGTTATTAATGTCCTTTGGCTCTATTCTATTTCAATGAGAATATTTATAAAGTCAAGAAATATCAAATGAGAAATTATTTAGCCAAAATAGTTTTCGTTTTGTTTTTACATGTAACGAGAAGCCAAGGCCTAAATACATAGGCCAGTAATGCGATTCTTTTAAAAATTTGTTGAGTTACTGACAAGATCGTTTAAATTGAGATGCTTATAATTTCGGTAATCAACGATTTTTTACGAAGTTAGCGACTATGTTAAAGTAGTCGCTAAATCCTACCGATAGCAATAGTGCTGTCAACTTCAACTTAGACTTTTCATTCATAATTTTTCTTTTAAATTTTGCCGATATTTGTTGGTATCTCAAAAAAAGAGTTAGATAATCTCACTACCGGAGTCATACAATAATGACGTTTACAAAAGACAAGATAATAGAGTTCTTGTTTTATTTATCGAAATACCAAAATTCGTCTTTATGACGTCAGCATCCCGATAATTGCTAAATGAATTCTCTGATTCCAGATAATTTGTCCTATGTAAACGCCACGTTAAGCTGCATCTTGAGATCATTGCCTAATCAGACACATAATTTTTTGATTTTCTGAAAGAGGGCGGAAGCTTTTTTTGTCACTGCTTCCATTTAACACTTCCCATCTATGCCTTAGGACATAACCTAGAAACTTTGTTTAAAATATTCATAACTTAAGGTGAGAGAACATAAAAAGATTTTTTAACTGGATTAAGTCATCGGCTGGATTCTTCGGAAAAGAACATAGGAGAGTAGGGCCAAAATTGAACCAAGTCAACCTAAAACTCATTTGTTCCTCTACGAAGAAGCCAGCCGATGACTTAAGCCATTAGCCACCTTTAAAGTGAAAATGCATAAAACTATTTTCTGACTGGCTTCTTCGGAAAAGAATAATGGCGACTAGGGCCGAAATCGAACTAAGTTAACCTAAAACTCCTTAAACCCGTCAAAAAAAATCTTTATGTACTCTCCGCCTTAGTACTTTCCATATCGACGATCCTGATTTCTAAGTATTAGAATTTTCCTAGTCAAACATATTTGTTTTTCTCTTTTATTTAAGAAACTTAGAGTATTTATTAAAACTACAAGTTAAACTAAAACGAATTGACTTCAAACATATGTTCCATACTTGCATACTATTTATAATTAAAAATCAAAAAAAAAACATATTTTGTCTCATAAAGATTGGCTGAATCATAGTAGCCGCATTTGAAATTAAAATCTTAACCCATAAACTGTTCGGGAATGGCAAGCGAGTTTTACTTATTTAACATTTATAAAGGTGAGAATACATAAAACGATTCTTTGACTAGATTAAGTCATCGGAGTAGTACATCGGCTACTACCGGTATTCTTCTACAATGGCAATAACCATGGTAGAAGCACTTAGGTAGACGCATCGACACAGCTACCAATTTTGGAATTTAAAATGTTAAATGAACAATTATTTAAATTGTAAAAATTGTTGAAAAACACGTATTATCATAACCTCCGAAAAGAAAACATGTAAAAATCTACTTATATTTGAAAAGACATTTAAACTTTTTTGACATATCAATGTTGTTGATGCGTCCACCTGTATTCTTCTGCTATGACAACAACCCAGGCTTAAGCCATGTTTACATTAGAATATTTTTTGTTTTTTAAAAATATTTACATATAATAAATTCAGTAGATATCAATTTCCTATTATCAATTGGAAACCACTGAATTTCAGATGTGGACATATACCGGGCGTTTTAGGACTGTCATTATTAATTTGACAATATAGAGACAAAAAATGCATGCATCAGAGCAGAATTGAAATTGAAACAAGGAAGAATACTGGTAGTCGCATCGACACAGCTGCTGGGACAATGAACTGTCAAACCAATTTTCAATTAATGCTAGGAACACAATTGGAGCGAACGATGAATTTCGCCCTACGCGGCGACAAAATGAGCCGCGAAAATTCGTCGTATGGAACACAATACCGACGAAATTATAAAACAGCTGATGAAGTTGTTTACTTTTTGCACATTTGTTGACTACAATGAATTATACAAGAACACATAATTCTTTACGTTCTCTATTATAATTTCACTTATGTCCATCTTCTCTATTATAAATTCACTGATATCCATCTTCACTCAGGCGCAAGTACACAAATAAATAAACAAATTAATTATGTTTTTTTTTTTATACGAGTAACAGATAGTAGAGTGACCATAACAAATTTTAAAGTAAAAAGTAACTTTATTTACTAAAACACATAAAATTCGTACAAGTATGGCCACCTTGTACTGTTTTGTTCGCCGGTCGCCGGCGTATGAAATAGAAATAAAGCTAATTGAGTTCGCGGCGACCGACGAAATTTTCGCCGGTGCCGTGATTGTGTGCACTTCCATATACACATATGTGTTTTATTTTTGACGACGAACATACGCCGCGAAAAAATTCGTCGTTCGCTCCAATTGTGTTCCTAGCATAAAAATGTTGAAAAAATATAATAGAAAATTTAAGTTTTGTCATATCAATGTTCCCAAGCGTTGATGCATCTACCTGTATTCTTCTACCATGAATCTAAACTCGCTTAATAGCGTGTTTTCACACGCCAATTCAAGTGAAACTGACATTTAAAATCCACTACATTTCCTCGTATATGTAAACACACTTCATTGCTGTTTTCAATGGTTTAAGGGTTAAGAATAAACATGTTAATCATCGATTTCAAAACAAAAATCACTCAAAATAACTACCAATCTAATAAATTATTTAAGACAAATAAAGAATTTATTAATAGTTGATACTTAAACAAAACTTAATGTAATTGAAAAGAATATAACATCACAGTGATGAGTTCTTTTGAAATAATATAGTGTTACAACAAACAAGAAAAAAAAACGCATAAAATCAAATACAATTTATTTACCGATGGTTACTCATACAGACAACAAAACAACAAGGTCCAAAGGTTACAAGGTTTTGTTAGTTAAATATAATTTGTTATTATTTATTGTCATATTCCGTCATGCATTCTCACCTTAGGAGTTGTCCTTCTATTGAAGTACATTGACATGTGTGCGATTATTGAGTTTTATTTGTCAAATTTGCCTAAATACTATGATAAATAAATCCAGTCAAGGTGCTTTAAACATTATGTTTTTTTTTCGATTTAAAATAAACTAGTTTATTTTTTAGTGTCTAATTAATTGAATTCTTTCTTATTTACATCATTTTTTGACTTTCACTTAAAAACAGACACATACACAAAGTTCCTTATTTATGTTACTCATATTTCTAATGCTATTGAGAATAACAAACTATATATAAAACACACAAATTTTATTTTTTTTTCTACTCAATTTAATTTATTATGTTTAAAGAAAACATTGCAACTTACTTAACCATTGTTGTTATTCATATTTGTTAATAATTGTTATAAAAGATTTTATGTTTAATAAATAAACAACTATGTCCTACAAACATGCAAACATACATATGTAAATATGTTGATTCAAAATAAAACTAAAAAATAAATAAAACTATTAAGCGACATCTGATGCAAATAAAAAATTGAAAACAAATACAACACAATAATTATCAGAATTTATTAATAAAGAATTAAATAATTAAACAAAAAATATTTAAGAAAACACAAAAAATACATAGTAAATAAATTGTTAATTTACATAATCAATAAGAAATTAATTATATATATAACTTTAAAACAGTAAAAAACCAAAACATGTCATCAAATACCAAAATATGAACATCAATAAAAAAGTTTTTATGTTAGAAATGCTCAAGAGATTTTTTATTGGAATAAGATCGTTGGGAGGTCTAATACTAAATTACTTTGAAATTAAACTTTTTACGTAGGAATGGGTTGCAGGGGCCAGTAGTGGAGTTATCTAAATTTAGCGACAAATATCGGTAAAATGAAAACTCAAAGTTATCAATGAAATGTCAAAAATTAAAGTTGGCAACACTGTTGATGTCAGTAGGATCCATGGTAGAAGAATAAAGGTAGACGCGTCGACACAGCTGCTTGGACAATGAACTGTCAAACCAATTTTGGAATTGAAAATGTTGAATGAAAAATTATTTAAATTTGTAAAAATTGTTGAAAACCCCGTATTATAATAGCCTCCGAATGACGTAGTATAAGACAGTATATAAAAATCTACTTATATTTAAAAAAAACCCATTTAAATGTGTTTGACATATCAATGCTCCCAAGCGTTGATGCATCTACCTGTATTCTTCTGCCATGGAAGGATCATGAAAGAAAAATGTAGATAGGCGCATCGGCACAACTGCTGGGACAATAAAATTTTAAACCAATTTTGGAATTGAAAATTTTGAATGAAACATAATTGAAGTTTGTTAAAATTGTTGAAAAATACACAGCATTACAATATCCGATTGGCCTCGTATAAGAAAACATATTAAACTCCACTTTTTTTTTTTGAAAACAAAAAATTTACACATCAATGTTCCCAAGCGTTGATGCATCTACCTGCATTCTTCTACCATAGGTCGGACTTATTTTGGTCGCTAACTGTAAGTCTAACGTATTTTGTATTACCGGCTACACTGAACGTACCAAGTCGTAGAAAATTGTCATTTAATTTTTAAATTTTTTGCTCCTTCTTTTGTTGTTGTTTTTTATCTAAAAGTTTCTTTGTTCCAGAACCTGAAAGAATTTACTGGTCTTGTATTTTTGATATCATAAATAAAAACATTCTTTAACTGTGCTAGCGTTTGAGAAAATAGCTATAATCATGGTACAATGAAGAGAAGGTAGGCCAACTTTGAAAAAATTGCAAGTATAGAGGTCTACCTGTTTGGCTTGTAATGTCAGAATAAGTATCAAAACAATAAAAAATCAAACAACTTGTTGCATTTATTTTGAATATATAATTGAAAACCGCGAAAACTGAATGAAAGGTCAACACTTCTTTTCAAAACCAGGTTCTATATATATCTCTAAAGAATTATTTCGCTACAAAAAATCTACATTTTGTCGATGCATACGATGAAATAAACATTTTGAAAACATCCGAATTTGAATGTTTTCTTAACAATTTTTTTTTGTTATTGAAAAGAAAACACATACATAAAGAAATAAAAATGACATATTAAGCCAAGAAAATATCATTGTACCATGGCTATAATCTCTTCCCCAATTTTAGTTGTGTTCCAGTACTTTTTTTGTAGTAAAACTAGCAGAAGAGAGAACAGTTCGAAATGTCATTCTCAATTAGGTGTGCTCAAAAAATAAGGGAACGGAAAATTAGCAGAAATGCGATAAAATGTTAAAATTCAAAATTCCAAGAGTAAACATTCCAAATCGGACTGGTGAAACCTTACTGAAACGGACGCCAAAATTTAAAAAATTGGTATTGAAGACGATAGTATTGAAGACGATACTTTAAAACTAATAATCTATAATAATAATTAATAATCTGATTCATCATTCAGCCAGTCCTCTTCACTACTGGAATCATCCAAAAGTGCTCCATATTTTCTCTTCTTGTTTTTTTTTGCACTACAAATATTAGTTTTTCCTTTAGTTTTTAAGTTGATCATTGCTTTATTTTTGTTATGACGCGGGAACATTGAAATGTATCGATACATTTTTCAATCTTGTTAGCCCTGCCAATTAAATGTCAAATTCACAATTTGCACATTTCTGCTCGGCCAAATTCATGTAGCTAAAACAAGCAGAAATGTGCACCACTCAGCGCCATTTTTTTCTGGAGAGAGCTGCAAGTTTTGCTAGTTTTTGCAGTACGGGAACGCGTTGTAGCAGAATTAGTACTAATTAGTACTAATTTGTAGGTTCTGGAACACAACTTTTGTTTTAAGGCCCTGATCCTTTTTTCTATTACCAGCAACACTGAACATACCTATTCATTAAGTTCTTTCTCATATGTGCCAAACAGCTGAGTGATTAGTGAAAAATCGATCTAAATATCCCTAATAAACGAGTGCGTGCAAGGTAGATGTACTAGGTAATCGCATCAGCCCAGCTGACGGCACCATTAAATGTCAAAACGAATTGTTGTAATGAAGAATTCACCCTAAATGAATGCAACAATGTTGTCTTCCCTAAAAGTACCTTTTTATAATATTTCAAATAATTTAAGAGTAAGTTAAGAGTGAAACCAGTAAAAAATTAAAAGAACATGAAGGAAGGAGGTTAGAATGGAGTGCAGCTTTAAGAATTAAGTTAGCCTCAACATCTAAGATTCCCAAAGCACATCACGGGAAGTAGTGCAAGAATTAGACTCTTGTCATTTGCAGTTCCGGAAAACTTTCGGTTTAAACCAGTAAAATATAGTCATTATAAGTTTCTTTGTTTAAAAAATATCGCAATACTACAATTAATACTTATTTTACTCTTATTTGTTTTACAATAAAAACTTTTATTGCGACGTTCGTTTACGACGAGAGGGACACAAAATAAAATGTAAACAAACACCTCGTTTCTGATTGGTTGAAACAAATTTGCCGCAACTTTTAAATGTCATGGCGAATCTATGTTTTTCGCCTTAGATGCCAATTTTGACATTTGAGGGGACCACAAAAGTTGCTTTGTTGTAGCAATTCGCCGATGCGGTTACCTGTTAGATCTACCTTGAGTGCGTGTTTATTCTTCCCAGAGGACGAAGCCGATGTGAAATTCTCGGCGGCGGCGGCTAAAGCAATATACGGCCGGCGGCGGCTAAAAGTCGGCTACAGCCGACGACTTTAACGTGAACAAATAATTTCGGTTGTTTTAATAACTGTCAATTCATTTAATTTAAAATAAAAATGAAAATATAAGTTTATATGCACATTTGTTGCTTATAGCACATTAAAAATTATAATAAAAATACTTTAATTTGATAAAAATGGTTCGACGACCGCCTTGTTATCGTGAACAAACAATTGTTTCTTTACTGTTGCCGGATGCAGGTTGCTTCTCTTAGCATTTACACAATTCCCGGCATATGAAAATGCTTGCTCTGAAGATGCTGATGTGGCTGGAATTCCAAAGCACATATTTGCTACAGTAGCAACATTTGGAAAAATCTATAAAAAGTAAATGGTCAAAACGTAACATGCTTAAAACAAGATTAAGATGTGAATCTTTAACGTATTTGTTTGTTCTGTCACCACCAATCTAGAGGCTCAACCGCCTCGACTTTCATTTCCAAATATTTTCTTATTTCTTACTCTACGTTATTTTGTACATTAGAAGAATCAACAGATTCGTCTGAATCGGATTCTGATTTAGTCAAAACTGTTTGACCCTTTCGGTCAGCGGAAAAATAATTTTTAATATTCCTTTGGCACATTTTACATTATTTTCCTTGAACAAGCAAAAACACAACGAATCTTTGGCAAACAATATGGTTGCCACTCCATCAAAATTCGTAAGTTACAAAAGGTTGCCAAAGGTTTTCTGATAAAAAAAGCAAATCTACAGAGACATAATACCCTTACCACAATGTGGTGTAGGGTATAATTAATATAAATAGCCTACACGTTTTTGCCTCTTGAAGACGAGTGCGCAATATAAATTATCGTCCAATAATGAGCATTATAATATGTTAATTTATCGATAAGATTAAAAGACATATTTATACAAATTTGCTGTATAAATTTATATCTTTCAACGGCTTAGCCGACTCAGTCGGCTAAAAATTTGAGCCGATGAGAGCCGCATACATCAGCGGCGGCTCAGATCACTTAAAAAAAGTCGGCGGCGGCTGCACGCCGACTGCGAGCCGATCGGCTTCGTGCTCTGATTCTTCCTCGTTACTTAACGTCGACTTTCAATTTGTTTTCAATAAAATAACTATTAATTAATAAAAGAAAATGTTTACGAATATATTGAGAAGGTAATTTACAAGATACCCCGCGATTATAGCATCGATAATCTGTGTCCATTTCTCTTGTCTACATTCAGGGCCTGCAACAGTGTTGGACAAATGGTCATAACACGAGAGGCTCATGCCTTCAACCGGGACATACTAAAGACCAAGGTACGTTGCCACTTCCCAAAACCCAGAGAAGTCAAACGTATCAATGTACATGGCTGGGATGCTCGCATGGCCACCGAAGGAGGCAGAAGGACCTTGATGCGTCGCATACTAAAGGGCCGTTATGTGTTGTCACATTAGAGGAAAAATAAAACACCACATTTAAATAAATAAAATAGTCTTCTTCAGTTTCTTTTCTATTTCAGTAACAAAAATAAACTACTAGGACTAAACACTGGAATTCACTTAGTCTAGGGATTTATGCTTGCCACTAAGGAACAACTTAGGTCTATGGTATATTTGTTTAATCGCCTTGGAGGCATTGGCTTCTACGGTATTATAGACAAATGGTGCTGTTTTATTGATGCGAGAACCTTGATTGGTTAGCATTGAACTGGGCAAAGGCATATCGCCCAGTGCCAAACAGTTGACATGCTTTAGTAGCGGAGTGAAAATTGCCGGAATGAGATATACTTGTCGCACATGATAGTCAATTGCTCGGACAACACCTGAGAGGGAAAAGGAGAATGTGATAAATATAAGTTGCAACTGTTGCATCGTTTTTAATTACCAATTCCCAAACATTCTACAGCACTACGTTCGTTTTCGGCATGACAAAGATACACTAGATTGGCTTCCATGGCCTTGGCCAATTCATCTTGGGAGCAGGGTGGTTTATTATCCATTAAATTGATTAGCTTAAGTTGATCTAAGGGGGCACTAAAATAGAAAATTTCAAATGAATCATATTGTTTTCACAAATTTTAGGTATTTATGTTACCTTAAAGGCTTACAATCAGTAAGCCATTCTGCATGTCCCTGCAAAGCAACACTCAAACGTGTCAACAACATGGCATACCGCGTATCTTTGGGACTCATATCCCATTCCTTTTGATAGCGTGATTCTTGTGTGACTGCAGTTTGCCATACATGTGTGCGATACTCTAATATGGGTGATTCTTCATCAGGATTTCCATTATATTCCATAAACATATTACATGGTACTTGATTAATATTTTGGGGGAAGAGTAATGTGTCAAAGTTATTTATAGCCTTGTTACTTTGCAGTTGGATAACATCAGTTAGGGGCAAGGATTTTATTATCACTGAAATAAGTTCCAAACCAAAGCCTTTGTTATAGCCCATGGTATTGACAAACCATGGAATGTCTTGAAGGTGATTTTGTGCTAAACAATAATCAATTAATTGTTGCACAGCTTCAATATAACGATGGGCACACAATGCAATGTTTGTGTGGCCAACTGCGAATGCCTTTTCGGGCTGTTGGTTTAAAAAGAAACCGGGTCCCAATAGAGGTTTTGTTACCACGGCACACGACACTGTCTGTGGTACAAAAATTTCCGGTTGACCAATATCCAAATCAATTAAGAGTACTTTTTCCTTGCTCTGCAATTCTTTGTTGATGAGATACCGTAGTAGAGTTGATTTACCAACCCCCTTTCCACCAGCCAACAGGATGCGAGACTTTCGACTTACTTCCAGAAGTTTCCATTGATCGGATAAACGCAAACATTTCTGTTCCATGGCAGATGTGTTTATAATGCAACGTAGTAGATATTCGGAATTAAACAGAGGTCGATCCGGATTTATATTTTGTAGATTGGGAAATACATTCTCGTTCATGAACTTCTTAAATTGACTGACTACTTTTCGTCTTTCATCGTTGCGTTTCAATAAAACCACAGCATCTTTTGCGGGATCATAGCCTTTAATGATACTTTCCAGATCAGATCGTAGGAAATTGCTATCGAAACTCTTGAACGTCTGCTTAAGGTTGTTTTGTGATGATTTTGCCGCACTAGTGTGGGAGGAAATTTCTATCACACTGCAACCACGTGGAGAAAATAGCTCAATTTCTTTATTGAGGCTAAGCGAATGGCCGTAGACGTCAACTTGACCAGCCAACAATGTTAGACGTACAGTACCATAAATATAGAAGGGGTCTTTCACAAGAACCAATACCAAATTGGCATTAATGGCATTACAAAATATTGTATCGTAATCCGTTAGATTTTGATGTTGAATTTTGGCACGTGTAGTTGTTGCTTCGCGGGAGGTATTCTCATCTCCATCGACTTGATCTGTTGGTTTCTCATCATGGCTAGTTGATGTTTCATCATTATTTTCACCGTCATTTAGAAGCAAATTGGAAGATGTGTTGGATTTCAATATTGTCCCAATTTCTTTTTCTGCTTGAACATTTGGGTTGGCATTCAACGAGTCATTCTCCGCGTTCAACTGTTCTTTTTCTTCTTCTTTTGCCTTGTCGGCAATTGGAATGCTTACAACTACAGCTTTGCTACCAACCATAATGTGTTTGTTTAAAATTTGTGAAGGCGTCACTCCCTTTTCAGCGTCGTCATCATTTACATCCATTTCTTGTTTCAAATTTCCATCACTTTCATCTGCAGCATATTTGCACTTGGTAGCATTTATGATATCCACAGTTTGCATAGAATGCATACGTTCATCATCGTCGTCACTGCTGCCATAATCATTGGCATTTCTATTCAAATATTTTTCATTAATATCTTCAGACATTAAAGAATCGGCCTCATCTGAATCAAGTTCAGTATATTCACTGCCCAGGCTTACATTTTCCATTGAATCATCGTCGTCATATTCATAGGCATCCTGCTCTTCATCATCTAAAGATTCCTCATCCAAAGTTTCTTCTTCATCCTCCTTGGGATTGTAAAGTTGAAAATCATCCTCATCAATAATTGGCACCAGTTTTGGGCAATCGTCATTTTTATCTTCAACTTCTATGTCGACATCTTTTGTACCAGATGACAATGCTGGCGGTTCTATCTTTGCAATGTGATTCTCTTTGTATTTTAATTTTAGTAATTCTTCCTTTTTATAGCCTTCTGGCTGCTGTATTGTTTTCACTGTTGTTTGGCTCTTTAATTCTATAATTTGGCAATATTTTTTATCCTTAAATACCACATTGTCCTCAGGTTGTATGTCCCTCTTGGTTGCAGTTCCTGAAAATGAAGATAGAAATTCATTATAGAGCGAATCAAGAAAATATATAAAGGACATTAAAACCCATTCCACCATGCAAAGAATAAAATCGATAATCAACATACCTGAATGGACAATCAAGTCTTCGGGTACATCTTCTGGTAATTTATAGTCTTCATCATTTTCTTCATCCTCAAAATCATAAGACTTGTCGGCATCTTCAGCATCATCTTCATCATAATTTGAAGAATTTTCACTGTCTGAATAATCATAACTATCTTCATCTTCTTCGTAGTCGTCTTCATCAAAATCTGAATAGCGTTCCTCCTCTTCGTCATCTTCATCATCTAAATCACTATAATCATATGGATCATTATCATCATATGAATCATCGTCGGAATCACCTGTAACACCATAATTGTAGGAATTTTCATCGTTTTCATCAATATCACTATAATTGTAGGGATCATTGTCATCACTATCTTCATCCGAGTCATCAATATCACTATAGTTGTAGGGATCATCTTCATCGGAGTCATCCGATTCCCCATAACCATTATAGGTTTCCACCTCTTGATTATTTTGTTGATGATCACCAAAATCATCTTCGGAATCTTCAAAGTTATTGGCATACTGTTGTTGCCAATATGCATCACCGGAATAGTCACCATATTTTGAATCGAAATCCCCACCCTTGACAAAGCCGGGCATGTTGCTTGTATCCAATTTTTTGCTTTCAGTTGAAGAATTTGTTTTCCCTTGAGAAGGGTTGTTCTTTTTAGATTTCTTAGATTTGCTTTCCACAGGTACTTGTGGTTTTTCGTCGGTCAGTTTTGGTTTTTTAGAGACATTTGTGGTATTTGCCGTCTCAGTCGCTACACGTTTCTTTGCCTTATTTTGCTGATTTTTGATGTTCAAGCTATTCGTTCCATTGACATTGGTGGAATTTTGAGACTTTTGCTTGTTCTTTTTATTTTTACTTTCTTTTGCTGGTTTGGAGTTTTCTTTGAGAGGAACTTTAGAATTCTTGTCTCCTACGGAGGTATCAGTCTTTTTAAGATTAGTTGTGAGTTTATTACTTTTCTTGCTTTTTGGTTGGCTATTTGGTAATGTATCTTCAGAGCGGAACAATTTATTTTGTTCAATATTATTTGTTGTTGTCTCCTTTTCCAGTTTAGTCATATTGACATTCTTAAGTTTGTTTTGGCCTTTGGTAGAATTTTTTTGACTACCGGCTTTTGGAGAATTTTTCTTCTGAGCTAAACCCAACGTATCCTCAGGTTCAACTTTCTTTCCTTTTTGTTTCTTACTTTTTGGGCCATTAACCACTGACGTTTTCTCTGTATTAATGGCTTCTGGTATGGATTTAGGGTTTTGTACACTGTTTCCCTTTTTATTTAATGCCTTTTTCTTGCTATTTTCACTACTTTTTTGCCTTACGTCTGGTTTCAAAGGTTTGTCTTTGGTACCACCATTTGTCACTTTTTTTGGTTTCGCATCTACACCAGCTTTTTTCGTACAATTTTGCTGGGACATGGAGTTATTTTTATTTAGCTTTTTATTTGCCATCTTTGTATTTCCATTGGACACTACACCCATATGTTGTTGATTCCCCTTAACTCTCGGGGCATTTTTATGCTTCTTTTTGTAGCCTTCTCGATTAGAAGAAGCTTGTTGCTTCTGTTGCTGGATGTCCTCTTCTTTTCCATGCCGTTGCTCATTAGTTTTATTCAAGAATTTTCTTTCCGATTGTTTTTTATTCTTTTTTGATTCATGTTCCCTCAGGAGATTCATTAACTTTTGTTTTAATTTTTCTTTCTCTTTTGGTGATATCGCCGTGCCGCCTTCTTTTGTAGCCATTTCAGGAGAATGCAAATTTCTAGAATTTGGAAAGTAACGAAATTTTCATAAATTTCTATAAATGTTGGTGGAGAGCGTGCACAGTTTTGAAATGATAAACAATGCAGCACATGTGGACAGGCAACGGTGACAGACACACAAAAAGTAACAGTAGGTTTACATGATTAAATATAAATAGGGCAAGTTCCTGGCACAAAACGAATTTCGTAATTGTGTATGCAACTAATGGATGAACCATACTATAATGAAACAAAGGTAACATCATTTCAAATAAGCATTTCCAGCTCTGCATTTTCTGTGATTTACCTTGCCAAATTTCAATGCATAAAAAACAGTTCCCATCTCTAATGTTAATGATGTATCAACGATTGGGAACATCGATATGTCAAATGTCTTTTCAAATATAAGTAGATTTTTATATGTTTTGTTATACGACGTCATTCGGAGGCTATTATAATACAGGTTTTTCAACCATTTTTACAAATTTAAATAATTTTCCATTCAACTTTTTCAATTCCAAAATTGTTTTGACAGTTCATTGTCCCAGTAGCTGTGTCGATGCGTCTACCTATATACTTCTACCATGATAGAATACCAAATGTTTCGTTTGAAGCATGGTAGAATCAAGGAGGTAATCTCATGCAATCATATATTTAAAATTTTTTCAAATATTATTCATTTGACAAAACATTTCATTGTCAAACTTTGTATTTATAAATCCATTGCATGGTAGAAGCATACAGGTAGTCGCATCGACACAGCTGCTTGGACAATGAACTGTCAGACCGATGTTGATATTGAAACTCGTGAATGAAAAATTATTGATATTTGTAAAAATTGTTGAAAAATACATATCATTACAGCCTCCGATTTGCGTCGTATAAGGAAACATATAAAAATAGAATTATTTTTGACATAGCATTTAAAAATTTTTGAGATATCAATGTTCCCAAGCGTTGATGCATCTACCTATATTCTTCTACCATGAATCCATTGTACATACACAAATCAGAGATAGGAACCTGTTTTTATGTAGTGAAATGTGACAAGGTAAATTACAGAAAGCGCAGAGATGGGAATGCCTTTTTGAAATGACCTTACCTTCTTAATTTTACCATGGTTTGAAGTTACAATAATAATTAATCACAATGTCTGGAAACCTATTAAAATTATTGTTTTTTTTTTTTTTTTTTTTTTTTGTAAGTGAGAGTTTCTATGCATTTTGTGTTTAAATAAAACACATACCAATCATAAACACTTTTCTAAATAAATTGCAAATTTACCTGATATTAATATTGTAAATGCTTTCATTCTTAAATTTATTTTCTTTTACTTGGCTATCATTTTACTTTGGATGTCAATGGTTTCACTTGCATCTGCTAGATTTATTTTTTATAATAAATCACAATCTAACGAAGTAATCCTATTATACTCTATTTCTAAAAATGTTGTGGAAAATTTATAGCCTTTATGTTTTTTTTATTCCAAAAATTATAAAAAAAACCTACTTTGAAAATTAAAATTCTTTTGTGGTTAACGAGTATTCCATGAGTATCAAATACCCTACGATAGTCGGTATTTATATCCGCCAATAAAACTATAGTTTTCTCACTCCCACTTATGGAGTTTCGGTATATCCGTCTCGCTCCCTTTTTCATTTTTTTCTCTCATTTTTCTTCGTACAACATCGGAAACTAACGTCAAGTCAAGGCGTTGTCTGTCATCATAATTTTCAAGTAGACTGCATGAAAAATTTTTTTGGAACTAAGTGAAAACATTAAGCAACTTAACGAAATAAAATTAAATTTTTTATTATTTTAAAGTGGTGTTGGAAGAAAACTAAACGATACGAATTTGCAAAAAGTAAAAAGAAAGTATAGGAAAACGAGTGCTGTTGTTCAAATAACACAAAAAGAAGTACATTAAATTTTTGTCAAGAGGAAATTAAGCATATTAAAAAAATGTATGTACGAAAATATGGGTAACAAAAAATCTAGTATGCAATTTCCAAAAATAAGCAATGAGTGCGAATGCTATAGGCCAATACAAAATGGGCATTATTGTTTTTAAAGAAAATTACCAAAACGTTAAGGAATTTTGGGCTTGCATTAAAATGTTGGAAACTTTTTTTTGAAATTTCACGAAGAAGAAAAAAGTGAATTATGATCATGAACGATGATTGAATGCGTTTAAATGTGTGTGTATATATAAAGTGTACGTGTGTGTGTTGTGTTAATAAGAAATTGGAATAAAGCAGCGAAAAAATGAACGACGAACGGAACGAATGAACTGTTGTGTGATGATGATTAAGGTGGAATGTATACGGTTTTACACAATAAGGGTTGTGTGGTGGGGAGTGTACAAGGAAGGGCAGCAAACACATACTACTTCTATTTCTGCTTCTTCTTTGTATTTGCCTGTTTTTTCTCTTCTCCATTCGATTCTTCTACTTCAGCAGCAAAGTCAGCCTGACTGCCAGTCACTAGTACTTGGTGCTGATGATGATGAAGAAAAAAATTCAATTGTATATCAGAAATAAGGAAAAAGCTTCTTGAAAAAAAAGCCAATGTTGTAAAAAAAGAAGAAAACTTTACGAAAAAGTGAATTCTGAGGAAATAAATTTGAAATACTTGTTGATAATTAAGGTACAATAAAAAACAAGAAGAAGAAGAAAAAGGTGGTGGTGTGGACAACTTCGCCTTTGCTGCCTCTAGTACTGACAATTACAACGCAACAACCAATTGAATCGAAAATTTTGTGTCTCTGGTGGCTGATTTTCTGTTACAAAGCACATTAAAACAAAATAAAAGGCAAAACAAAATAGTTTTCTCTTTGTAGCCAACATCTGTCAATTTTGACACTGTGTAATGGGCAAAAACAAAATGTTTTGGGAAAGAGATGTACGCAAAATTTAGAATGTCAAACTACGCACTTGAACGTCATACGTAGAAGACTTCTCTTCTACGTCAACTTTTAACAAGGAGACCAATCACGACAACAATAACAACAACACCGACGTGCTGGCGGAGGAGGAAAAAAACAAATAAGTGATAAACAGTTCTTACTCACCCAAGAAAAACTTAAGCTTATTGAAAGCAAACAAAAAGTTGTTCTTTTCACATTTGTGTCATAAATTCGCGTATTGTAATACTTAAAACGCTTGGTTTCATTGCTATGGGGCTGGCTATTACGGGAGCACAGCCCAGCAGCAGACCACCATATTAATATTGTCATCGTCGTCAATTATTTGCTGTTTTCTTTCTTCTTTCGCTAAAAACGTTAAACTTCCAACCAACCAACCAGCCAGTCAGTCATTCAGGCAGCCAATCACCACCCTCCAAACAAATTGGAATACTTTCCTTTTAAACGCTTAACTACATCTACAGTATGGGCCTTAAAAAAAGCAGTGGGTGTTTAATTTCTTTATATATTAATTCATATGTATCTAGCTAATTATGGAAATTGTCATAAAAAATCATTTCAATAGTCATTTATTGTTAGTTTTACCCTAATTTCTTTTTCTCAATTTGTTACTCATTGTTTTTCTACTTTTTTGTTTTGTTTCCTTTTTCCATCCTAGAACCAATGACGACGATTCGTAAAAAGTTGGTTATTGTTGGCGATGGTGCCTGCGGTAAAACTTGTCTGCTGATTGTCTTTAGCAAAGATCAGTTCCCTGAAGTGTATGTGCCCACTGTTTTTGAAAATTATGTGGCCGACATTGAAGTCGATGGTAAACAGGTAAGTCCGTCATATGATAGATATTTTTTTAAGCCAAGCTGTTGCTTTCCGGCGACAGCTACGACTAGTCAAATACACCCAAAAATAAACCTAACCTCAATTATATATTTCTGGTTTGCACAAAACGAATTCGTTGTTAAAATATTTCAATTAATAGGTCGTCATCATCGTTTGTTTTCATCTGAAATATTTATTTGCCTTTGTTTTGATTTCCAATAAATTTCGGGATTTTTTCTTTATTGTTAAAATACTTTTGCACTGCTATAAATTGTTCTACTTATTCGTTTGTTGTGTTTCGAATGTAGGTACGTGATTTTTTGCTTTACAATTTTGTGAGAATTTCTTTCAGTTGTCAAATGAAATGTGCCAGATCTCTTTTTGTTTGTTGGCACATGCCTCACTTTAGTGTAGAGTAGATTGTTTTACATTGTTATTGTTACTTTCTTGCTAATTATTTGCATCCTTCGATATTCTGTGAATATTAGACAAGAGAGAACCCAAAATGTCACCTATTGAAGTCATATAAAAATTTGTATTCAACAATTGGGTATGTTCAGTGAGGGTCAAAGAAAAATTGCTCTCAGTCGCCAAATGAAATGTGTCAGATCTCCGTTTGTTTAGTCATGTCTCGAAAAATTAATTTAGTAGATTGCCTTTCATTGTGGTTTATTGTGAGTATATTTAGATATTCTGGTTATATTATTAAAAACTTGGGAGCCAAATAAATATTTGGCAACAAGGAATTGCATTCTATTTAACTTTAGAGCTTTCCAGCAGGTGTGTTTAAAAGGGAAAGCCGGGGAATAAATTCTCTTAGTTGTCAAAAAATGCGCCAAATTTTAATATGCCCAGCATCTAAAGTTCAGATGATTTTGTTACAATTTCTCACCACATCTGAATAATATTCTATTGAAGTTTTAAATCATAGGAACACATTAAAGAACAAGTTTGATTAATTCCAATTTTGTAAAAACAATTTGTAACTATAGCCTCAATTCAGTATACCATTTAATACGGATTTCTCAATAAAATGTGAATCCATGAATTGGTATGTAGCTACGAAAAGGTTCGTATTTAAATTAATCAAAAATAGAACAGTGTTGGCATGTTTGTTTGGGATACCGTAGTATTTTGTTGTTGCAAAAATCGTCAGGCTTAATCCCATTATTATTGTTGTTTTTATAAAACAACATTTGTTTATTAGTGGAGAACGATGGTAATGTTTACCAGGGGGTAAAGCAGGGAATACCTAGGATTCGGAAGGAGCCACCAATCCTCATAAGTTCCCTTGTTTTTCGCCTGGGATATTCACTCTAGAAGTTATTTAAAATAATTCTTATGACAAAAAAACTTTTTTACCCAAGTGACGAGATCGTAAGCTCAATAGAAGAGGAACCAAAGAATTATATAAAACTAAAATTCTTTTGGAAAATCTTCTAAATCTTACAATTGCACTATAAACATCAATGAATCAAAAATATATATTTTAGATGATTTGTGGATAATGGGGAGGGGCCTAAAGTTTTACGCACGCAAAAATGCTATTGTCTATGGTTAGAAACTATTTCTCCCAAAGGCCTCAGAATAATAGCACAGAGCCATGGAGTAGATTATCCTTGATTAAAAATACCGAAAATATCATTTCTTACGAAACATTAATAATTAAAGATCTAAAAGCTTTTGAGTTTGAAAACCAGTGGACCTAAGAAAGAAATGAAATTATTAATCCCACAATTTGGAAACATTGATAGAAGACTTAATCATATTTTCATCCTTGGACGTAACCCACCATAAGATGGAGGATATGTTAATTGTGTTATTCCAATGTTCTTCCTTTTGTCGATAGCAATTTCTTTTCTTGTCAAAGTTTTGCTCAATAGTTCAGCAACATCTCAGGGTTTTATTGGAATTCCATCCACCATGTAGCAAATGATATAGATTTTCACATAATAATTCCGCTCAATTTACAGTATTTAATAGTTTTCAGATAGACTTATTTCTGAAAAGATTTCTAAGGGTTACTTCCATTCTCAATACATAATTCTGAATAATAAACTATCTTCCACCAAGACTTCTCAAAAGCCACCGCTAAGGCGAGAGCTATCTCGTACAGACTTTTGTAGAGGGTTTATCTAATGTTTTTTTTCGTGCCGAAAAAATTGGTAGCTTTCAACAGCAAATACCTCAAATAGATCGCGCTACATATTTTTTTTTCTACTATCACCAAAATTCTTTAATTTTATTTTCCAAGTTTAAAAAAAGTAGGATCTGCACAAATTGTCCTAAATTGTCATATCCAAAAAGCGCCTATTTTCATCCTGCAAATACCTATAATCTTCCACATTCATCGCAATTTCCATTCTTCGTATTTATTATTCCCCTAAATGGAAAATAAAACTTCGACTGGAAGTGAAAATCAGAGTTCACATATTTTGGGCCATATGTCCTCATATCTTTTCATCGGGCGGCTACAAAATTGATAAACAAGAAACGTTACTATCTGTGGGCATTTCTAAGAAATACCCGTTGGTTCAGATGAAGACACATTTGTTGATGGTGGAGGATGACGACGGACGTACGGATGATTTGTTCTTGGCAAATATTCCAATTATCGATTTTGCTTCTTTAAATAATTATACAAAGAAGGAACCCCTGACGAACAATAAAACCGAACAATGCATTATTTAAAAATTCAATTTGTTATAAATTGACGACTGTTGTGAACATAAGAACGTCTGTCCAATCAACCTATCCAAAGCTATACAACAAAAGCAAAACACACACAAAAAATATATTCAAAAAGGAGCAAACAAAAAGATGTTGGATGATGGAGATGATGATGAAAACAAATTGAAATTAAAAAACAAAATGATACAAATACAAACATACGAACGCCCAAAAAGACATCACAACAGCAGATACACTAGCAGCAGGCATAGTCATAATCATAGCCAGCCAGCAGCCACCACAAACGACGACGACGAGGTTCGTCGTCTGAGCCAGTCCAAAGAGTCATATGAAAGCACTTTTAATTCAAATAAATATACAAACAAAAATGAAAAAGAAATAATAATAACAAATGCGGCGGCGACAACAACGGCAACGGCGATGGCGGCGGGAGAAGTCTATATAAAACAACAAATTCAAATGACAAAAGGAGGAACCGAGCGAACGGCCAACCAACAACCGGCCAGACGACAAGCAGCGTAGGGAGAATAAAGATATGCGCAGACAACTTTATATTCAAATGCGATTGTTGGAAAAAAAGAAGAGACCGAATAAATACTAATAAAAACAATACACAAAATAAACGAGTCATTGAAGAGATCACGCGAACGAAGAGATACTGCAATCAAGAGTGATATATGGGCCAGAAGGAGAAGGTGGACTAGGTTCATGTAATACAAAGATTGGGGCCAAATTATTTGGGTAATGAGGTCCATGGGATTTTTTTATTGTAACTGAATTGTGCCTAGCTGCTTCTAGGACCCTAAACGAAGCACTAAAATTTCTCATTTGGATAATTAGGCTTTATAAATATTGAGGAGAGATACACACTGACTTCATCCTACGATATATTAATTTCTTTGCCGAAATGCTTCAGAAAAAATCACTTTATTTATGGACGTAGGTAGAACTTGTCATCAAGGGGGCGCAACACATCCGTGTTTTAATTAGAACGTAGAACACAAAGCTTGTGGTTATGTTTGAACTTTTGAAGGATGTGTAAATGCTGGACGTATATCGTTTTTTGATTTCAAAGGGAAATATAGCACATTTATTATAGTTGTGGTTGAACTTTTTTTTACCGAGAAAACCTGCTCTTCAATGGTGTTTGGAAGGTTAGGGACGGAAGTTCATGTGAAATAGATACACATTTGTAGATTGGGTGTTCCAAATATGGGTTATTTTTGGTCATTTTTCAGTTATAGATGTGATTTGATTTGGCACCGTGTGGGCGTGGTTGTCTCCATGATTCCCACTATAACAACCAAGCCAGCACTGAAACAAAAGCATGTGGTTATGCTGACATATCAAAAGAAAATGGTCCGATGCAATTCCCCCGACGACATTCTGACAGGACTGAATACCACTTATTTTTACATTTTAAATGTATAAACAATTACTTAAAATGTGCAATTTCCGAGAGGGTACCCGGCCCTTCTCTGCGTATGACCCTGAGTTCTCTGACACAACGGTTGGGGAATTCTCTGAATTAATGGCAACCCTACCCGGATTTAATAAATTTGAGGTGTTCAGAGGATATAAAATCCAAGGCCTGGTGAGATTATATTTTCTTGGCGACCTGTGGCTCTCCTTATGCAGATGTGAATATTCTAACTTTCCGTTTAATTTGATCTGTCAGTACTGATTTGCTTATTACCTGAAATCTTCTGAATCAGAGCATGTTGCCTTCCCAGCGGATTTGTAATCCTGATTTTTATAGAGAGTTATACACATCAGGCGCCTGTATCTAGGCAGTTCCCATTTGATGATATGTATTTTCGTCAGAATTGCTAGCCTAAAGCCTAGGTCAACTATCATAATAGTTCGATAGTAATGCTATCCCTCACACTCCTGTTCCACCCCTTCCTCAGTACAAAGGAACCATATCATTATTATAGACTTCAGATTCCCATTAAGCTTGGTTTTCTGTACTGCTGCGTCCGATTATTTTAGGCAGAGGCCTAAAAGTTAAAAAGCTGTATGTTCGGCCGGGCCGAACTTTGAATACGCTCTACCAAAGAATTTTGAATTTTTCAAAAAATAAATTCCGTTAAAAATTCTGTTCTAAAATCGTCAAAATACCGTTTATGGGGAGGTACTGATATATTGGGCCTATACGAAGACCGGGACCTCCACTGACAAATTACTGTCATAGGCTTTTGTATCCATTACGAACTTCAAATACCAAATTTGAAATAATTCCGGTGAATAATGTCGCTAAAATCATCAAAATATCGAATATAGAGAGGTACCGTTATATGGGGGCTATACGA